GTTAAACCTGCTCATCTTTGACTTAAAACCTGAAATCCTGATATATACTTAGTCTATACTAATGTTTGTGCAATGTAAGTAATGTAAGTAAATTTTGACACAGACTAGTATATTTCAAGATTAAACTAAAAGTATACTTAGAAGATTACTTTCAGTATACTTCTGAGTGTGCTTTCATAAACTTATTATGGGCCAATTTAGTCCCAGATGCATACTTGTTAGTAAACTGCCAGAATACTTATATAAGTGTACATGGTAAACAAAGGTACACTTAGGGAAATACACTTTTATATACTTTAGTATACTTAATGACATGCACTTAAAGTATATTTCTTTTTGGTAAGTTTATAAACTTAAAGACATTATAACAGTATACTTGAAGTATACTTTTTATAAACTAAAATGGCCCTATTTAGCCCGAACAAGTATTAAATCAGTATACTTTCTAGTACACTAAAAGTACATGGTGCCTAGTATACTTGATATACTTAAACCCATACTCAAGTATACTTATTAAAATGAACTTTGCATATACTTCTTGAAATAAAAWGAAGAAACATATGCAGTATTTAAAAATAACATTTACTGAAGAGAGCCAATATTTTATACTTAATATTTGCTCAATCCGTTAGTACTCGAGGTAATCAAGGATGTTTCTCAGCTGCTCACATTCTGTGCTYCGAAACGTGCRTTAGTGGTGGTGGCCATGTTKAATCTGGTTGACTCCAAAAGTTGCAGATGTACAGTCAGTACATGAGATGTTTTACTCAAAGCTAAACACAGGCAAGTGCATGATTATTGTATTGTGTTGACACACAACTCTACACACAGAATGCCACCTGACCTAGGTGAGCTATGCAGCTCCCCTGGAGGTGAATGAAACTTAAACCTGGTGGGATTGTTATTGGARAATGTGACGGCTGCTTCCCCAAAACATGATGACAAAATGAGTCATGACCTGAAACAGTGTTTCTGGGATTTTAGACAGCTTGTCAGTTTGTCTCAGAATCCTAAAGGAAAAGGAAAATAGCACCTTACATCATAATGACTTGTAGATTTTCTGTTCTTTTCTTTTTCTTTCGGCTGCTTCTTTCTGCATGGGTCGCCGCAGCGAGCTAACGCTCATGAAAGATTTAGCAATCGTGTTACGCCGGATGCCCTATCCTGACGCAACCTGAGCTCAAACATGCAGCCTCAGGATTACAACACCCACTGCTCAGACCACCGAGTTACCACAGCCCCCTACTTATAGGAAAATAAATGGTCTTATAATTTATTGGGTGGTTTATTTATTTATTTGTTTTACCTTTAGGAGACATCACATCTGCCTTGTTCTTGGAAGACATTGGTTTGGTTGTTTTTTTTAAGTACTGTTTAATTAAATTCAATTCAKTTTATTTAAATAGCGCCAAGTCACAATAATTATCTCAGGGGGCTGTACACAAAAAACAATCAATCTAAAGAAGCCAGCAGATTCTGTTGAATCACTTCTTCACAGTCTCCCATCCTGAGCAGCACATTGGTGACAGTTGAGAGGAATAACTCCCGTTTAACAGGAAGAAACCTCCAACAGAACCAGAACCAGGACAGGCGGTCATCTGCCTCGACCATCTGGGTTTGGGGAGACAGGAAAGAGATGGACAAACACAGGACTGGTCCAGGTGTATTTTCCTCTAGAAGAGAGACAAAGAAAACATAAAATACACAAAAGTTATTGCAACAAACATGTAGAGGAGAGAGACTAAAGACAGCAGCAGAGTGAGGAAATGTTTGCCCTCCAGCAGTCTAAGCCTATACCAGCAGAACTGAGGAAAAACTGAGGAAACCTAAGTCTAACTATAGGATTTAACAAAAGRAAAGTCTTCAGTCTAATCTTAAAAGTAGACAGAGTGTCAGCCTCACGGACAGAAACTGGAAGTTGGTTCCACAAGAGAGGAGCTTGGTAACTGAAAGCTCTGCCTCCCATTTTAGAAACTCTAGGAACCACAAGTAAACCTGCAGTCTGAGAGCGAAGTGCTCTGTTAGGAAAGTATGGAACAATAAGATGTTTAATATAAGATGGAGCTTGGTTGTTAAGAGCTTTGTATGTTAGAAGTAAGGTTTTTGCAAAGATTTTTGCTTAAAATAATGTGTTCCAAAACTACCACATATTATTTAATTTAATTTAATTTAATTTAATTTTTTTTTATTTGTTTAGAAAATAAATGCAACTTAAACCCAAAGATTCTTGTAAGAAAACTTTAAAATGTAAATCCTTAGCATGCTGCACATGATGATTAAGTCCAAGCATGATGTGAAAGTACACTATCTCACAAACRTGAGTACACCTTTCACATTTTCATAAATATTTTACTGTATCTTTTCATGGGACAACACTAAAGGTATGACACTTTGGTACMATGTAAAGTACTCAGCTTGTATAACAGTGTAAATGTGTTAGCTGACAAAAACTCAAGACACCTCCRTTAATACTGTATGTAAACATCTGGCAACAACTGAATCATAGATTAGTGGAGAAGAACTTAAGTTTKTTGTAAGGACAGTATGGATTTATGTACGTTATGAAAGCCACGCTAYACAATTAATGAATCCTTTCTATCCTGTTAGGCTTTTAAATGTGTGACTAATGGCACCTAATACAAGTGTTGCTGATTTGCGTGGCTGCAGCTAGCTCGTTCCTTTCCACGCTGAAGAAATGAGAGCTAATTTAGTGTGCAGATCGTATCTTGATGTGCTCTGACGAGCTGAGGGAGAATATCACAGGCCCTCACTCTGCTTTTCATAGGGACAGCTCTGGAGGGAGCAGCATGCCAGCCTCTGGTTGTCATGCAGATAGTGGCAATGCCGTTCCCCTGTGGGCAGTGGGTCGTTGCCGTGAACATAGTCATCCTCTGACAAGGTGTGAAGGGGAGCAGATTACACCTGCCAGCAGGAGGGATGGCTGGAGAGAAGAAAAGTGGGGGTAGTTTGGGGACCGGGCAAACAGATGAGGAGAAGCTACTTCCTTTTTGATTGCTAGCCAGGGGTGTTTCATGCTTTTTGTCTTGTTTTTTTCTTATTATTGTTGTCGACCACATTATTTCCATAGGCCTGTGAGRCAAATCATGCCACCAGAGCTTCTGCAGTCCATTTAACATCATTTCATTGACT